AGGGCGGCGTTGCGCTCGTACGCGGGGGGCGATGCCGGTGGCGCGCGCGTTTCAACGTAAAACACACCTGATGCTGTTGGGCAGGGTGAGCGCTAGTTGTCTGGCATTTCTGTCCAGGAGTTAGGCTCTTGGCATCAAGATTTTGTTCTTCCTAGCTCATTTTTTATCTCTTCCAGAGTGCATCTCAGCTCCCTGGCCCTTCTTTCCACTTCTTTTGCTGCAGCTGCGGGGAGAGCGGCCGCTGCTGCTGCAATCCCTCCAGCTTCAGTCCTTTTCGCAGGTCTTGGCTTTTTCCCTTTCTAGCAGCTCTTGGTGTCCAGCATGAAGCTTTGCCTTGAGGAAAGACTCTTGTCGCTCCCATGTGCATTTCTAGCAAGTATGTATTTGTGCCACGGGGCTCTTTCTGCCCAAGGTGAGCTGCTGAGCATCCCAAGGCAGCGTGGCTTTTCTGGCAGAGAGGTAGTAACTCTTGTATTCATCCTGGAATTGTAGGGTAAAACGAGGAAAGGCAAAATCCTTGAGAGCCTGGGCTTGATTTGGGACAGGTTGTCAAGGTTTCTTGCTCCCAGACTTCATGATAGCACCCATTGCGTGTCTGGGGTGAAACGCAGGAAATTCCCTGTCTGCGTTCGCAGAGGCAAACATGCAGGCTTGGGAGCTGGCACGCAGCGATGCTCGGTGCCTGCGAGAGTCTGCAGCAGGCTGAAGCGCTGTAGCTGGGGAATGTGAAATGCTTCATTCATCAAAAAGAGAGAGTAACTCTGCTTCCGAGCGTTTTAAATGTCAGTGTGAACTCTGTAGCCACTGATCAAAGCGGAGAAGGGTGACGGCGTTGGAAGCTGCTCTGCTTCTTCTCAAGCACATCATACTTTGACAAAGGCAAGCTTCAAACACGGAGAAGAACCGTTTGGCTTATTTTATTTCTTCAACTCTTGTAAGTAGCAATAGAAATAAGTTTTTATTTGGGTGTTGAGAAGACTCCCCTTGTTTCTTTTTTGCTGCTGGGAACTGAATGGCCGATGTAATTATTCACATTTTCCTGTTCCTCTTGAAGGGGAAACGTGACCATGAAATCACTTGGAGCATCTTCTTATGATCATGAGATCAAGTTCTGTGTGCATACTCACTGCTTTCTGTACGCCCTGCTTTATGACGCTCAAAGCACATGCTTAATTTTAGGGCTTTTTTCCCTCTTTGCCTTCCTTTTTTCTTTTTTTTCCCCACATGGGTGGTTAGTAATAACAGGCAATGGAAACCCCGTATGGAAGAAAATAGTTTCTATTAATAGAGAAAATAAGACACAAACCATTTTCTGTTGGTTTCAGAAAGCTGTTATGTCAATTTAACAAGCAAGAAAGACTATGTCCAAACTCTGCATTCGTGCTGGACTTCTAGCATGAAAACAGAGACCGACTTAAGTTAGGACAGACATCGTTGGTCAAGCGCTGGCTCAAAACAGAGCCAAGCCTGGAGTCGGAAACAGCTTTGCTGTTGGGCCAAGCTGCTGTGTCCAGCTGAAACTGCAGTATTCCTGCGTGGAGAACTGAGCCCTTGCTGCAGTGTTTGACCACCCTCAACATGAAAAGTATCTTTTTTTTTTCCTTATTTCTAATTGGAATTTCCCTTTCTGCTCTTCCCTTATTTCTTGTCTTTAAGCTGGGCAGCTTTGAAATGAGTTGGAAGAGACCCAGGACCCTGCAAGGAGCTCAAGCCAGGACCTGCCATACCTGATGTCTTATCGCTTCCATCCTGCTGCAGTTGTTGCCTTAGTGTTCTTATCTTCCAGTCTATGACCCTAATTAACTTGACGTGCACCTTCACAGCGCTCTTTTGAACCGTGAACTTCAGCCTTTGTGGTTGATGGATCACTGGTCCCCTGCTGCACCCATCTGCGTTGCCTTCTAGGTGTGATAGCACTGGTGCCTTACCTGCTGCTTGGCCAAGGAGGCCACATTTAGGTTTGGTGATGTCTCCCAGGGTGGATTTAAACATGGTGCGTGGTGGTGGGACCAGTTCTATTGAGGCTTCTCAACAGAATGAGTTTTTCCTGTGTCCCCAGACTTGAGAGTGGCCGTCCCTGGTGAGCTGCTGTCTTGCCGAGCAGAGGAAGCAGGTCTTGCCGTGCTGGCGTGCCAGCTCGCACATCTGCGAGGTTGCCTTGGCTACCAGCTCGTCTGTAACTGAGAGGAAGGCTCAAAACCAAGGATTGCCTTTGGGCTGTTTCCCTTCTCTCTGTGAAGGTTTTGCCCTTCCTTCGTGGAGAAATTTGGGGGTTCTGGTGCCTGTGAGCTTCGGAGCACGGGCTCTCTGCATTTCACCCAAACACTGGCAGTGCCATGGTCTCTCTGAAGTCTGTTTAGTGCCCATCTTCTGACCAGGCTCACTCAGAGCCAAGCTTTTTATTTTTTAGTGACCATATTGAGCATTAGCTGTTCCTGGGAATGCAGTGGGGGTGTAGGCATGGACCTTGGCTGTGATTAGCAGGGTCCCACCCCGCTAACCCACATTCCTCCTGGCCAGATACTGCTGTGAGTAGACCCATGGGTCTCAGCAAAGGCTGAACACCTCCCTTTGGAGTTGAGGGTGCGACTCTGGGCTGTGCATCCTTGGAGGTGCTCCTTCAGATGGGGAGGTGTGGCCATAGCTCCTGCTCGTGGTCTGAATGTGGCTGGGTTTATTTTTCCAGCTGCTGCACCTGGGACCTGCTCTGCAGAAGGTGAAGTCGGTCGGGAGCCTTTCTGTGCTGGGTGAGACCTTTTGGTGGCCTCTAACTCAGCCCAACTCCGCAGTATGCCTGGGATCATTCTCCACCCTTTTTTACAGAGTTTGCCCTTTCTAAGAAGTGTGGGTAGGGTAGCAGAGCTCTTGGGTTTGTGCTTTTTTCCCAGTGCTGGGAGAGTTTGGAAACATGAGGCTCTTCATCACCTCTGGAGAAGATTTGAGTAGTTGCAGCTGTTGCTTAGAGCAGGGGCTGGTGTCCAGGAAGCCTTCGGGGCTCTGATGTCTCTCCTCCAGGAAGCTTTTGGGGCTCCGATGTCTCTTCTCCTTTGTGTGGTCATTTAAACTTCCACTCTGAAACCTTCCCTGGGGCCTTCCTTACCAGCAAACCTTCTCCACACTTAAGGTTGGGATCGGTTCATCTGCTCCTGGTTGCCTTTGTTGAAAGAAGTCCGGGCTGAACACCCCTGTGCCTGCTCGGGGGTGAAGGAGAGGGTGCCTGTTTCTGCCACGTGTGTTAAAAGTCCACGTACTCCTGCGCCTCCATTGCTAGCTGGGCTGGGAAGACGGTGGTGGACTGGAAGCAGGGAAAAGAGCCAGGATGGGGTTGATGTCTGTGGTCTGTGTCCTTTGCAGAGAATGAGCCGCCCTGGGGGACGCCCTGCAATGAGCTCCTTGTCTTTGTTGCTACGCCGGGCTGTGATGGGTTTCCCAGCCTGGACTCCAAGGAAAACTGTGAGTATCGGGGTTAGGCGTGGGAGGGAGTGACTGGAGCGGGAGTGCAGCTGTGTCTATGCCCGTCAGTTGGAAATGGCACTATGCAGCACTTGCCTCCAATTTGGGGGAGGCAGCATCCTCACTGTATTGTTGAGAAACCGGGGCAGGGAGGGAGTGACTTACCTGAGGATGCTGATAAAGCAGTGGGAGAGGTTTAAAACAAAAAAAACAAACCCAAAAATCAGTTCTCTGGGATCCCAGGATGCAGTCCTATATCAAAACCTCTGCTTGGTGCCACTGCAACCCCATAGCTGGGGCTGTTGCGGCCTGTAGCAGCGTGTGATGGAGTGTAGAACCTAATGCCAGAGCCGGCCCCTCTGATGCTGTGTTTCAGATAAGCTTTCTGTCTCGGAAGGCTCCTTGCTGCTCTCTGCGGATGCTGTCTGGGGAGCTCTCAGAGGTGAGACGTGCTTTCTGCGGGGCATTCCCGCTCTCCCTGCCTCAGGCCTATGGGGATGTCTCTCTGTGCCTCTCTCTTTCCGTAGACTTATTTGTTAATTGAGCTCTGTTCCTTTGGGGGAATCTGTGCTGAGAAAGTGACTGTGTGTGGTTTTCCTGCAGGCCTGGAGACGTTCAGCCAGCTCGTTGGGAGAGATGAGAACGGCACGGTGAGTCCTGGTCTCATCTCCTGGGGGCAGTCCGCTCCTGCCTCTATGGGGACAGGCTGAGGATTGCCGGGATGCTTGGGATGAGGGGGGTACCGGCAGTGTGCCACAGCCTCGCCAAGGGCCAAGAAGGGGTTCATGAATCCAGCCAGACGCCTGCCTTCTGAGCGGGTAAAGCGTCACAGCTTTTTCTGGGTTGCTTGCACACTGGGCAGTGAGGCTACCCCTCCTTGTCCTGTTGGTCCTGGGGACAAAGGTGACCCTGATTGTCTCCTGCTAATGGCTGCGTTGCCTGGAGCCCTGCTCACTTCTTCCTTGTGTTCTCTGCATCCAGTACTACGTCAACGAGACGGAAATTGTGGACTTTCCCCGCTTCCCTCACCGGGGACTGTTGCTGGACACCTCTCGTCACTACCTGCCTCTGAGAGCCATCCTGGAAACTCTGGTAGGGCGCCTGTGCGGCGAGACCAGGTGGTTTAATGGGGTGTCCCTTCCTTTGTGACAACTGTGGGCTCCTTGACTGGCCCGGAGGGCTTTTGGTGTTTGGTTTTTTTCGTGTTGTTCCTTTCCAAAGATCCTAAGAGCTGCCTAATACGTAGGCCACTGCATCTACAGCTCATCGAGGAAGAGCTTGTCGAATGTAGGCTTTTTAAACAAAACCAGCTTGCTCATCCCTAGATGAAGCAGCAGGCTGGGGTGTGTTGGCACCGTGACCTCAATTCTTAGCACACAGATACACATCATGGAAAAATGCTTCCATGCTGTAGGTCCTTTCCAGTGCCCATGGCTGTGTTTGCTCATGGCATAACTCACAGCTGCCTTGTTTGGGTGATTCCTCAGCTCCCTCTGTAAATGGGGTAAGGAAGAAAACCCTGAGGTTTCTTGGATTCCTGCAAGCCAGATTGCTTTCCGAGGCTGGGTTGTTTCTGAGGCAAGGGAAAACACTGACTTCTTCCTAGCCACGTTAGGCAAACGTGGGTGGTAGTTCTGTGTTCAACCCAAGCAGAATTAAACTTCCAGGTCTCCACCGTTGGCTCAGTTACAGGGAGAACAGGGATTTTGTTGTGAGCAGAAGTACTACTGGCCCTCTGCAGCTCTTTGTGGTGCTGGTGTGTTTGAAGAGAGGTGTCTGAATCCCTCTTGGATCCTGAGGAGTGTTTGTGGATTCAGCCTTGTTATTTTGGAGCACAGTGACCTTGTCCCCTCTCTGTGGCAAGCTGGGTGACCTTTCAGAAAGGACAGGGCATGTTTGTATTATTTCCTGTTCCTTCCCAGGACGTCATGGCTTACAACAAGTTCAATGTGTTTCACTGGCACATTGTGGATGATCCGTCTTTCCCCTATGAGAGCTTGACCTTCCCAGAGCTCAGCAAGCAGGTAACCCACTCCGATCACCGTGTGGCACCCAGCCCAGGGCGAGCAGGTCCCTTCCTCGGCGCCTGAGCAAGGTCCTGAGATTTCCCGGTGTTCCCCCAGGGAGCCTTCAATGCCATGACCCACGTGTACACAGCCAGTGACGTACAGACAGTGATCGAGTACGCCCGGCTGCGTGGCATCAGAGTCATCGCGGAGTTCGACACTCCTGGGCACACCCTCTCCTGGGGTCCAGGTGAGGAGCAGACCCTGCCTGCTGCTGCTGCGAGGAGAGTTGTAGTTGGACCGGGGGGAGGAAGGGCATCTGCAGCCTGGGTCCCAAAAGCCGGGTGTGGGCAGCCGTGTCCCCGGGCTGGCTTTGAGGGGGAGCAAACCATCATCTGGGGGAAGTAGGACCCAATGATCCAACTTCTGAAGCAAAATCCGAAGGGAAAACTTTTCCATCTCTTCTTGCGTCACAGAATCGTAGGTTGGAACAGACCTTAAAGATAATCTCGTTCCAACCTCCGTGCCATGGGCAGAGACACGTTCCACTGGACCAGGTTGCTCAAAGCCCCATCCAATCTGGCCTTGACACCCAGTGTCCAAACTAGGTGACTTTTGGGGGGAACATCTGCTCTGCAAAAACCAACATTGTGGGTATCACAAGGATCTTGGGTTTAAGTGGGGGTACAGCTGACAAAGCTTCCTCGCTCTGCTCAACTGTGCCCCAAGGACTCCAAGTGCCGCCTCTTCCATGTCTGGAAGTGCGAGAAGCTCCAGGAAAATGTTACCTTGTCTTTCTCCTTCCCCTGCCTCCAGATGCCGTGGCCTGCACTGGAGTACACCCTGCGCACGTGTTCACAGCCAAAATTGTGCCTGCCCCCCTTCCCTGTCTGCAGTGTGTGTGCGGAGCTGGGAGAGAGTGCTGGGGGCTGCACCGCTGTTACCTTTCCCCAGCAGCTCTGTGTGTGGTTTCCTATAGGAATCTGCCCCCCAAAAAAGCAGTGGGGCCCACGATGATAATACCGGGAAATACTTGAGATCCCCAGAGATACTAAGGGGAAACCTGGGGAGGGTGGAGACTGTAGCATCCTGCAAGGATTTGGTGTGTCTGTGTCCCAACTTCATAGTAGCTATTGTGGGAGGGGAAAAAAGGATATCCAGCCTGAAAGGCTCGAGCCCTGCAGATCTCGCCTGAGAGCATGTGTTCGGGGCAGCAGTGGATGTGCGTGGGGGGAACGTGAAATGAGTGCGGAACACGGGTCCCTCCCCATCAGGTCAGGCTTCCTGAGCCAGAGATCATTTTTCTGCTGCTGTATTTATGCCTTGTGCGCCATGCCCAGGTCCTCTGTCCCCTGGCAGGCCCTGGGCCATGCTGAGGAGGGTCTGGGGGGATATAGGGGGTGATATGGCCACGGTTTAGCCCCTTCCTCACTCTCCTGCGTTTGTTATGACCCAGGTGCTCCAGGCCTCCTGACTCCCTGCTATTTGGGCAAGGATCCTTCTGGGACCTATGGGCCCATCAACCCCATCCTTAACAGCACCTACCAGTTTGTGACCAGTTTGTTTCAAGAGGTCAGCACTGTGTTCCCAGACTTCTTTCTTCACCTCGGTGGCGATGAGGTGGACTTCACGTGCTGGTGAGTCTGAAACCAGTCTGGATGGGGACCAGGGAGAAGTATCTGGGACTGGAGTCCCAGCCCATTGCTTTTTTTGGTCATGATCATCAGCAGATCTTTGGTGTCCTGCTCCCTCAGTCTCTGTGTGTTGGTGCCTGGGGTTTCTGTGCTCATGGTGACGCTGGTTGGGGGAATCTGCTGGAGTTGGTGCCGCCACAGTTCTTGGGCTAGCCTTGGACTGATGTGGGAAGGGCTTGGCCATGTCTTGGCCTTACTCCAGAGCTTGGGTTGCAGTGCTTTGAATGAAAGTTTCTCTTTGGTACACAGGAAATCCAATCCCAAAATTCGTGCCTTCATGAAGGAGATGGGCTTTGGTGAAGACTACAAAAAATTAGAGTCGTTCTACATCCAGAGGTAAGGATGGTTGCATCCTGGGCCGGCAGCTGCAGTATGTGACCAGCACAAATGTCTTCTGATGCCTCAGGGACACCAGATCTCCTTTTCAGGAGCACACCCATTCAGGCACGTCTCCCTGACCACAGAGGGAGTAGCCTAGCTGTGTTTTATTGGGAGATTGACCACAAAAAAGCCTGGGGCTGAGGAGAAAGAAGGCCCGTAAGGGGCTGTGCTTTCTCCCTTCTCCTTCAAAAGTACCTTCACGTCCCACTGTGGGTGTCGGGAATATCGGTGCTGCTGCTTTGGCTGTATGTAACCAGCAAAGAGAGGAGAGTGTAGTTGGGATTACCCAAAACTCAGTACTCTTTCCACTCCAGGCTTCTGGACATCATCTCTTCCCTCGGCAAAGGTTATATCGTGTGGCAGGAGGTGTTTGACAACGGAGTGAAGGTGAGTGCTTCCTGCTTTCCCTGTGCTGGGCAAACAGTGCCAACACCCAGCCAGACACACTGGTGTGCTCTGGGGGTGCCCTGCTGGGGCTGGTTGGTGGGTACTCTGTTATGGGACTGGGGTTGGTCTTGAGATAGTGTTGCCAGTGAGCTGCCCTCATGGTGGCTTTGTCACACTGCTGTCAGCAGTCTCTTCCCTCCAGGTTCTTGTATATACACCCACAAGAGGCAGGTTTTAACCCTGCCCAGGACATTCTGCAAATGGGCTTATCCCTCCCTCTGCTCCTTCTGCAATCCAGATGGGAAGTGGCTCAAAAGTCAAGCCAATGTCTGCCTCGGTTTCTCTTTGGGGGTGTTGGGAGCTGTGGATGGGTCAGGGCACTCTGCTTGCGAGGCGAGGTGGTGCTCTTGTTGCCGCACTGATTCCGTGCATGGGTTTCACGTGTGTTCTTCAGGTGAGGCCAGACACCATCATCCACGTGTGGAAGGAGAACTCCAAGCCGTACATGGAGGAGATGGCGAACGTCACCAAGGCTGGCTACCGGGCACTGCTCTCTGCCCCCTGGTACCTCAACCGCATCTCCTACGGGCAGGACTGGATGGCGGCCTACCAAGTGGAGCCCTTGAAGTTTGAAGGTGTGTTCCTTGTGTCCTTTTCCCATATGGCAGCTCGCTTGCCACTTGGAGGTAGCACCAGGGCTGGCTTTCTTGCTAATCCGTTCTCGCTGCTGGTGTGAAGGTGCTTCAGTGAGCGTGTCCTTGGTTGCTGTGCTGTGTCCCATTCCTTTGCTGCTCTTCCCCAGCCCGGGGTTTGAAGCAGGGGCTTCCAGGATGGCAAGTTATTGCCTCCATAGCTGAGCCACTCTCTGCTGTTACAGGCGCATGTGTGGGGCAGGGTGATAAGTCACCCCATTATCTTGCAACACCCCGTCACCTGAATGCTGTGTCCTCTGGCAGGCAGCCCTGAGCAGAAGGATCGGGTGATCGGCGGAGAGGCGTGCATGTGGGGTGAATATGTGGATGTCACTAACCTGACCCCCAGGCTCTGGTAAGAGAAGCCGTGGGGAGGTTGGCTCGAGCCAGATGGGGCTCTTTCCCCTCGCCACCGAGCGATGTGTGCCACACGCTGCGGGTTTGGTCTGAGCGTGGTGCTTGTCCCTGTCCCCTGGCAGCGCCTCTGTGCTGCTAACAGCCTCACTGAGGCTTAGGTGAGGGTTTGTAAGAGTGTAACCTGCTCCTGTACAACCTGCTGCTGCACCCAGTACGTGTTTAACACCACTGGTCTGTGTGCTGTCACCCCAGTCCACTCCTGATCCGTGTGTGTCTCAGGGTGCGCCTTTGTGTGCAGGAAGCGTTCGGGAGCTCGGGGCTTTGCGGGAGAAGCCTTCCAACTTCCCCCCCCCAGACCTGACTGCCTCTGTCCCTTGTTCCTCAAGGCCGAGAGCTGGTGCCGTAGCCGAGAGACTGTGGAGTAACGCGACCGTCAGGGACCTGCAAGATGCCTACGTGCGGCTGGCTGACTTCCGCTGCAAGCTTCTCGGGTAACCGTCCCTCCTCGCAGCTGGACGGCGCAAATGCCGCCCTCTCTGGGGTTCAGTCCCGGGGAAGGCAGCGAGGGTGAAGTGGGCTTCCCCCGGTGCAAAATAACCCTTGGTCTTACAGAAAGTCACGAGCTTTTCTCCTGCCTGCGCGTGGGCAGAGCGTGCTTTGTGCAGTGCTGGAAGAGAGCCCCTGCTGCCGGCGTGGGCTGGTGGCTCTTGTCGAGGAGAGGGCTTTGTGCTGCGGAGGGGACCTGTCAGCTATTGCCACCCCTCCTGCAGCACCAGCTTCCCCAGGAAACCTGCCCTTACCCTGAGCTCCCACGTGTGAGCGAAAAAAACAGTCCCTAAGCACAGGATGAGAACCGCTCCCTCCTTGTCACACCTGAAACAGGGCGCTGATGGCCACCCTGCGCTCCGCTAACCCCTCAGACCTGACCGTGGGCTCTGCCCGTGCCCTCTGCCTAACGCCGTCTCTCCCCTCTCTCTCCAGGCGTGGTGTCCAGGCGCAGCCTCTCTACGTAGGATACTGCGAGAATGAATTTGGCGGGTTTTGAAGGGAGAGTCCTGCTGCCCTCGCTCGTTCTGCATGCAGGAGGAACGATCCCGCCCTCTCAAAAGCTGCTGGCTTGGCGAAGGGACCCCTTCCCACCCCCACCTTCTGCTCTTGCTTTGTCACAATGGGCTTTTTTTTTTTCCCCTTACTGTGCACTCTTTGCCTCTTTTTGCTATTTTTATTTCTTTAAATCTATAAATAAATGACCCCAAAGAGCAAAAAAAGGTGCCTTTTCATGCTCAGCTGGGGCTTGGGAGACGGTGCAAGGGTTTTTGTTAGCAGGAGAAGGGGTAGGGCTTGCTCCAGAGGTGCTGGTGGAGAAGCATCTGGCTGTGTCTCGTGCCGGTGGCTCTGGAGCTTGCTGGGTGCCCGCTCGGCTGGATAAACCGCATTTGGCCTCTGCTGCTGTCAGACCCCGTCCCTGCAGGGGGTGACAAGGTGTGGGCACCCCCAGTTTTCCCCTTGACCTCCCACTGTCCGCACCTGGCATTACTTGTGCCAGGATGTTACCGCATGGTCACCTCGGTTTTTGCTTCTGTGGCCTCCCACGCACCAGTGGTCAGCGTTGTGCTGTTCCTGTCCTTCTCTCTGTCTCCTCTCTGCCTACGTGCAGGCAGGAGGCTTGCTTGCAAGCCACCGCCTCTTCTTCCCCAAACCCTGTCTGCTGCCACCTCCTCCTCTGGCTTCTCCTGAGAAGAAGACACCCTGAAGCCTCTCCAAGGAGACCTCAAACCCAGTGAGCCGAGCGGTGCGTGGATGTTACAGAGTCACTGCTCAGCTCTTTGATCGGCTGTCGCCTCTGCTCAGGATTTGGCCGACTGATCCATCCTCCTCCTGCTCTGCTGCATCTGAGAGGTTTGGTTTGGATAGTGTTTTCCTTGGAGAAGAGACCGGCAGTGCTGCTGTCCCATGGAGCCAGGACAGTTGTGGTTCTTCCTTTGACGGTTGGGGTTGCCGTGCTGGAATCCACGTTCGTCTCAAAGAAGAGGAATCTCTCGGGGAGAAATCCTGGCTGATGGGACTCTTGTATGTGTCTTGGTCTGAAACGAGTGAGATCTGCTGTTATGGCTGGAAACCCTTTACTGTTGAAATTTAAATTAAAAATACTGAATTAACTTTCAATTTAAAATATTCAGAAATCATCGAGTCTTGCATTTCTTTACCCTCCTGCGAAGGGATACCCGAACACTGCTCCTCCCAAGTGCTACATCTTCAAGGGGAGGGGGGAAAAACAGATCGTGAAGCCCGACCACCCCGGAGCAGGGAAGTTTATCCAGATTTGGGGGGAAGAGGGGTATTTTTTTCCCCTTGCTCAGGGTGGGAGAGGAAGGGCTGCCTTCCTGTGCCCTGTTTTCCAGGGGAAGATGCTCCTCTGCTTCCTCCAGCTCTGTGTGGGGAAACTTGTGCCCCTTTTCTCTGTTGTTTTGGTCGTGAGTACTCGTGTATTTAAGGCTGAGCAGAGCTGGGATTGCTGATCTGCCCGCCTGTCACTCTTGGTGTGTTTATTTCTCTTAAGTAACCCAAAAGACCTAAATAACAATAGCTGCTCCCTTTTGCTGGGGTTTGGTGTGCTGTCAAGTCCTAAAGAGCTCTGAACGGCCGGTGTAATGACTGCTCCTTCCTCCCCACCAGGCCTGGCACGAGCATCATCAGAAGCTTCTCGTCCCCATGAGGACATCTCCTCTGCTCTGACCCGAGTCCCCATGGTGTCTTTTGGGGTCGGCTTTGGGAAGCATTGCTCTACAGCACAAATGCCTCAGGTACTTGCAGAGCAGAAGCTTTACCTTCTGGTCCAGGCTGGTGGCCTCCAGTGCTTTAGACCCTGGATGTCTGCTCCGTCTTTGCGTAGCCGCTTCTGCCTGGCTCTTCCCGCAGCCACACCGGGAGAAGGAGAGCCAAGATACCATGATTCCCTGCTGGGACGGGGCTCTGTGGGCTCCGAGGAGGTGGCAGGCCCAGAGGAGGGGGTCAGTATCCCCTCCTATTTTTTAAAGTTGTTTTCTTCTTTTTTTTTTTTTTTCACCAATGTGGTGTAAATTGGTACCTTTGCCGGGTGCTTGTGTTGCTGCAGGGAACTGCTGCTGGTGGGGCTGGGAGAGCCTGACCCTGGGGAGGGGGCTCTGATCCCGGGAATGATGCCCTGCTCCCATGGATGATGCTCTTTTTCCAAGGAGGGTGCTCTGCTCCCGGGAAGGATGCGCTGCTCCCAGGGATGATGCTCTGCTCTCGAGAAGGGTGCTCTGCTCTTGAGAAGGGTGCTCTGATCATGGAAAGGGTGCTCTGCTCCCAGGAATGGTGCTCTGCTCCTAGGATGATGCTCTGCTCCCAGGGAAGGGGTGCTCTGCTCCCAGGAAGGATGTTCTGCTCTCGAGGAGGTACTCTGCTCCCAGGGATGGTCCCCTCCTCCTGGGAAGGATGCTCTGGTCCCCGGCGCTGCCCTCTGCACACCAAGGAGCTCTTCACCACCGCATCCCAGCCCTGTGCCCTCACCCTGCCTGTCCCCTGCGGCGTTCCGGGCTCCCCCTCACCCCGGGCTGGGTGCAGGACCCTGCAGGTCCTGGGGTGCCCCAGCGGGGACCCCCCAACCCGCCTACCACCACTGAAGCCTGGTGTTTACCATCCAGGTTAAATACCACCCCACGGTCCTGCTTCCCGGCAGGGCCTGCACCTGCATCTCCCCCAAAACCACCACCTTGAGGGCGCCTTGGCAAGGTCTGCACCCTCGCAAAAGCGGGGATCCCCATCGGTGGGAGGGGGGCTGGAGGGGAGCACCCCGCTTTCCCCCCCGCCGCCGCCCGGCCCGTTCCTTCCAGAACATCTATTTTGGTCGCGTAAAACTTGCCGGGGAGCAGCGGAGAACAGGCAGCGTGTGAATCACGCGGGCCCCCTCCGGGGGGGTTTATGGGGACACGCTTGTGTGTGTTTGCACGTGCCTGCACGCACAGGCACGTGCCTGCAGCTGTGTGCACGTGCTTGTGTGCATGTGCACGCGTGTGAACATGTGTGCTCGTGCACACGCGTACATGGGGGTGCTCACGAACACGGGTGCGCTTGTGAACACGGGTGCTCGTGCACATGCTTGCACACGCATGCACACGCGTGGCTGCGTGCCGGGGAAGCCGGGCACCCCCAGCCCAGCTGCTCCTCTGGGTGTAATTAATTAACGACTGTGCCAGGTCTTAAAGCCGCTCGCTCTAATTAAAGATTTTTTGGGGTGCAGCATGGATGCACTTCCCGCCCCCTCTGGGGCAGCCCCGAGGGGGGCATCCGGGGCGGCGTGGGCTCCGTCGAGGCGAAAAAAACAACGAATTGCGCCCAAACTGTCCCTTTGGAGCCTTTTCCGTGGATTTAAACCCTCGCGGTGGGTGGGGTGTTAACTCTGGAACCTACTGAGGGCCGGGGGGGTGA